CAGCACCAGCACCAGCTGCAGCAGCAGCAGCAGCAGCAGCAGCAGCACCACCAGCAGCAGCACCAGCAGCACCAGCACCAGCAGCAGCAATTTTGGAAGGTAGGGCGGTGCAAACTAGATTCAACGTGCAATAGAACTGCTTCTTCTACGACGTGCTTCCCACGCGCCGTATCCGCCTTCAATCTGCGCTGCCCTTTTTGCCGTCGTACCGGTGGATGTCACCTCAGTGCCCGACTTGGTAAAAGGGCCGGGGCCATGCCAGTCTAGACAAGTCTTTGCCAAATCGTGCCACTGTTTTGCAACTTTCGAGTCCTCTACTTGAGGCTTTATTTGATTTACATTTTTTTTCCCCAAAGTGAGCATGCTAGCTGGGCTTTGGGATCCTCTGGGCCACTGAGGCATCGAGCTACGAACAGCTACGCTCTGCAAGTATACTTTATGCAGTATAGTAATGAACTTCGTAATGCGTATATTCATCGGCCCAGCAAGAGCCGATGCCCTCAAGCGCGATTTCGATGCCATGTCGCCCAGGTCTCATCATGCTCTGACAGCCTGCAAGGACAGCATAACACGAACCGGAGGGTAGGCTTGCAAACCCAAGCTCTCATCCGCTTATAGACTTGGTATGAAGGCCTGAGGAGTGCAGGGCCGTTTGCCCTTTCCACCGCGGATTCCAACAATGCCCTCAGCTGACCGACGTCGCTTCGTGGTACCTCCAGCGATCAGCGGCGCTGGCAGTTGCGGCAACGAAAGTGGCGGACGGCGTGGTTGCGAAAAGATGAGCAGCAAAAGCAAAGAAGTCGCAGAAGCTGCAGCTGCAGCAGGAGCAGTTGCAACTGTGGGAGCGGACACATATTGTGAAGATGAGCTGGTGGGCGTGCACGGAATACATTTGCAGCATGATGGCACATATCATGATGGCGTTGAAATGAAAGATCATCCAGCCTATCAAGGGACACTGCAGTCATCACCACGATGTCCAAGACGACATATTACCTTTGCACCTCAAATCATTATCATCCTCATCCCCATCCTAATCCTCATCATAATCATCGCCATCCTCGAGTGCACAATCATAGTCCTCCATGTGTAGCTGCGTAGCGAGCAACATCAATAAAACTTGACGAGGGCCCAAACATCTCGCAACAATCTCCTCAATCGCTGCATACTGGCTGCCAGGGAAGGGCTGCTAAAAGTAGATGCATGGCTTGCAAACGGAGCCATTGCCGTGGCGTAATGCAAATCGCTGCTTGCTGCAAGCTCCCTGCGAATTTCGAGAACCTCTTATATAGGCAAAGCAACTGCATCGGCCGGAGAAGGTGCGCAGCGGCTCCAACAAGTGAGACATGCCTTCACGAGGGTGATTTTTGTTTTTGTCACTGAAATTCTGAAAGGCACTTCTTTCCTCGCAGTTTCAGTTCCAAAGACGGGCTAATGCGGCTACTGCGAGCTGCGTGTACAGTACTAGGTACACCCTGCATGATGCAGCGCATAACCTCAATCTGACACTACACGGCTTGCACATGCACAACAGCTCCCAATTTGGAACAGTACTGACAAACACCGTGATTCCAGCAGCCACACTTGAAGCGGTTCTGAGTTCAAGACCAAGAATCAAAATGCTGGTTATCAGTACCTAACTTTTATTACATATGGGCTGTTACATGCTACAGTAGAAACTTTATTTCCAGTCCATCTTCAGCTGATTCTGCTCCTTGCCTCGCAAACGGCGCAGCCTGGCGGTGTCGGTCCAGAAGCTTTGTTGATAGCCACCTCCACGACATGAACCGTCATGTCAACAGGCTGCCGATCCCAGTCTCAAGTTGCCTTACATGGTAGCTTGCAACACTCATGCTTAAACTTAGACTGCTATGTCTTTCACGTGGGTAAGTCAGTGGTTCCGAAAGACGAAGAGCAAGGCATTGTTGCTGGGCTGGGAGCATGTAAACCAACATGTGCAAATCAGTCTTCACAGGTCGATGAGGGTGTGAGTTGTGAGGCCAAAGGCTTGAAGAAGACTCGACATCTGCGTGGCGCCCACATCTCGCTGTCGCGCAGCAGGCTCATGCCTATTGTTGTGACCCAACCTTCCAGCATGCGTCATGTCTGCATCTCCGTCTGTGCGCGCGCGCGTGTGTGTGTGTGTTTGTGTGTGTGTGTGTGATTGTGTGTGTGTGTGTCCGTCTGTGGCTGCGTCTCTCTCTCTCTGTGTCTCTCTGCCTGCCTGCGTGCGTGTGTCGGAGTTACTGCATGATAACCGTGATGAACAGACACACATGCACGGGCGAAGTGAGAGAGAGAGAAAGTCAAAAGCCAAGTGCTCACTCAGCCTGCAGGTCGCTTATGCCCAGACCGCGGCGGAATTCGTTCAACGCCTTTGGCTGCAGGTGAAATCTACAAGCAACGAACGAGATGGTGTTGGGGCCATTGGCCCAGAAGACAAGATGATGAGTATAATAACAACTCTTGCCATGTAGGGTTCGTGGTACTCGAATATTTGGCAACCCAACTTTCAGCAAGACTTCCTGCCCGTTGCAGTCCTCCGACTGCGCGTCTGAGGCGAAGCCCATCAAGAAAATGCTGTCGTCCCATCCTCCCGTGATTACGCCCAAATGGGATTGACTCTTGGATTCTCCACTGCAGTGCGTGGACAGATGGCCAGGCCTTGGCTGTCCCCCGGAAGCTCGGCACACTCGTGCTTTGCGAGCGCCAGGCTTTCTGACTTCACTGAGAGAACGGTGACAGCAGTCAGGTCCAGGCCTGCGAGGCAAAGCGCAGCTTTTGGCCCTCGCCTTTGGGCATTCGAGCGCCTTGGAGCTGTCCAGACGCCGCCTGGAGCAGCTTGCTCTGCTCCTGGCGCCAGGGCCGACGGCCACAAGTGTCTCAGACTTGCTCGCGGTCTGTTGCGACTGTCTCATCGAACATCTCAATCGCCCCATGTGCCTTGCTGACGTCTCCGAATCAAAGCGATGGTGCCGCGTTGCTACGATTTGCTAATCGACAGTCAGTCATCGCAGCTGGTAGAAACGCGACAGCCATCTGTCATGACTCATGCTTACACCGGATGCCTCTGGGCAAAATTCGTGCCATGGCTTCATTTTCTGATGTCGCACTACCCTTTCCCGTCTGGGCCTATCGTGACTGTTTACCTGAGACCTTTGCTGTGCCGGCAGAATTGAGATGGCTGAAGCTGGCAATGCTATGGAGGTTGGAGAATTTCTCTGGCGTTATGTCTTGCTGGTGATCAAAAGTGCCGAATGCCAAAAGTTCGATTGAAAGCCAAACATGCGAGCAGTGCTACTGTACAGGGGTGAATTTTTAGTGCAACATGCAATTGAGTGCTCTATCCCTGCCATTCCCTGCCCTTTTTCGTGCCATACGGTGAATGGCTTGTCTGTGCTAGGTCGCTACTCTGATTGACAGATTGCGAAATAGTCTTCTGGTGTCAGCCTCAGACCCCATGTACAGGGCAAAGCACGAGCTGCAGCACTAGCTCCAGTTGAGCAGCTCTCAGCCATAGAGGTCGTCGTCATCGTCCGCAGCTGCAGCACTGGCTCCAATTCCCACGTCGTCCGGCCAGTTGATGACCACACCGCTGGTGCCGCCACCTGCGGTTGAATTCATGTAAATCGGGTCGAACTTCTTCCTGAACTGGTCGTACTTTGCGAGGTCCGAGCCGGCGACCGACCGCCGTGCACCTGCAAAGGCCTCCTCGAAGTGCTTGCGCCCGATCTCGGAGCCCATAGTTGTGTCCATGGCATCGTCGTCGCCTGCTCGCAGCTCATCAGCTGCAATGGCATCGCGCACCGCTGCCTTTGCAGCTCGTTGGCACAGCTCTGCCAGATCTGCTCCACTGAAGCCTTCAGTCTTCTGCGCAATGAAGGACAGCGGCACATTGGGTGCGATGGGCGACTTTTTGAGAGTAGCCTCCAGGATGCTTTGTCGTGCAGGCAGGTCGGGCAGCGGGATGTAGACAAGCTGATCAAGTCGGCCTGGACGCAGCAAGGCCTCGTCCAACAGCTCAGGCCGGTTCGTGGCACCGATGAAGAACACGTTCTTCTTGGCACCGACGCCGTCGATTTCGGTCAGCAGCTGGTTCATGACACGATCGCCAGCACCTCCTGCGTCCCCCTGGCTCGATCCACGGGCCGTGCCTACCGAATCCAGCTCGTCGAAGAAGAGAACACACGGTGCAGCTGCCCTTGCCTTATCAAAGACCTCTCGCACGTTGGCCTCAGACTCGCCGAACCACATGGTCAGAAGCTCCGGGCCCTTGATGCTAACGAAATTGGCAGAGCACTCACTGGCGACTGCCTTGGCCAGCAGAGTCTTGCCGCAGCCTGGAGGCCCGTAGAACAGCACACCTCTAGAAGGCTGCATGCCGAACTTTTCGAACTTCTCCGGGTGGTCGATGGGATACAAGATCGTTTCCTGCAAAGACCGCTTGGTGTCCTCCAAGCCTCCGATGTCATCCCACTTGATATTCGGCACTTCTACTACTGTCTCGCGCAGCGAGGATGGATTCACGGTGCCCATTGCTGACTTGAAGTGCTCTTGAGACACTGCCATGGAGTCCAGCACCTCTGCATCGATGGTCTCCTCCTCTAAGTCGATGAGGTCCATCTTCTCACGGATGCATGTGAGCGCGGCCTCGGTGCAAAGCTGCGCCAGGTCTGCTCCGACAAATCCGTGGGTGTTGGAGGCGACCTCCTCCAGCTTCACGTCGGTGCCCAACTTCATGTTCTTGGTGTGAATTCGCAGAATCTCCAGCCGGCCATTGTCGTCAGGCACTCCGATATCCAACTCACGGTCGAATCGGCCGAAGCGGCGCAAGGCTGCATCAATGGAGTTGGGTCGGTTAGTGGCTGCAATCACCACCACCTGGCCACGCCCCTTGATGCCGTCCATGAGGGTCAGCAGCTGAGACACAACCCGCTTCTCCACTTCGCCGCTAGTCTTGTCTCGCTTCGGGGCAATGGAATCGATCTCATCAATGAAGATGATGGCTGGCGAATTCTTCTCAGCCTCTTCGAAGGCCTTTCGGAGATTGGACTCTGCCTCGCCTGCCATCTTGGACATGATTTCTGGGCCGTTGATCAGAAAGAAGAAAGCTCCGGTCTCGTTGGCAATGGCCCGGGCGATGAGAGTCTTACCGCTGCCAGGAGGCCCATACAGCAACACTCCTCGGGGAGGCTTCACTCCCA